TTGTTATGTCTCATGGAAAGAGAAGTGTCCTGCAACCCCAAAGGGTCACATCGGGCAACGAGGGAAGCGTCGTCCCAGGGCTCTCTTTGTCAGTGGTACTCACAGTCATCTTCAGGCTGGACTGTGCGCCCATCCGAGGGCTGACGGGCTCGGGGGAGGAGAGTGGGCTTGGGCCTGAGAGCTGGTCGCCGTGTCAGTGCTGGCTTCTGTCACGAGAGGCGTCTGCGAAGTCCCTGGACGTCTCTGCTCTGGTTTGTCTACCTGTGAAACGCGGATGCTGTGGATGCTCGCTGCCGTGATTCAAGAAGCTTTGAAGAGTTACTGAGGTCTCGGTGGAACCCTCTGAGGATCTGCACCGCTTTATGAGGTTGGGGAGATGTGACTAATTGTCGTGGGGGGAGAGAGGCAAGGTGGACGGGCCCGTTTCCAGGTCCCCGTGGTGATGCTTGTCTTTCCTAGAGTCATCTCCTGTTAGGCTGGTGAGTGGCACGTAGACAAGGAAAAAATGCGATAGCAAAAAGGAAAGCCTTCAAACTTAGATTAGGCATTAAGGCTTAGCTGGGTCAAAAGTGTCTTCTCCATCAGACAGAGGAGGAGCTGGGACTTGGTGTGGATTATTGAGAGTCGGGCGTGCTGAGGTTACGTGCCCTTCTGAGGAGGGATGGAACCTGGGTGTGGGGACCCACGTCCCCATCCCAGGTGGCCAGAGTGGCTCTCCACTGGTCACCTTGTTCAGGATGGCAAGTCAAGTGGTAGACTTGTGTATCTGAGTGACACCAGCCTCTCCGGCCTCGTCTGACTGGTCGCAGTGACCTGGGAGGCTGTGCCCTCCTGGAGCAGCTTCTCATGTGCCGGATTCGATGGTGTGGCCGAGGAACTCAGAGTCCAGAAGAACACGTGTTGGGATTGCGTGTGCAGATCCTTCCCCGCTCTCCTGCGGCGAGGGAGGGCTCTCACCATCAAGCTGTTGCTGCAGGGGGTAAGGTGGGTGCTCGGAGCATCGGTGTCCACGCTTGGATGTACGGAGGCTTCCCTCTCCGCTCATGGGCAAGGGCAGGATGGTGCCTTCACCGCTGGGAAGGTGTCTCCGGTCGCATCTCCTGGTACAGGTGGGACCTGAAGGACAGCCCGTGGCAGTGCTGTGGGGACTCCGCTGCCGTGGAGGAGCCCAGCAGTTGTGCAGCTCCTCACCCATCCGTTGGGAACTCAGAGGCATGCCATCTGCATGTACGGTCATGGCACTTGTAGGTGACAGGATTGGGGACGTCACAGGTGCCAGGGTGGTATCGGCACACGCTGCTTTGTGCCTTCCTCATGTCAGGAGCGCAGCAGAATTGTCCTCTCCACAAAAGGAGGTTTCAGGTCAAATCACATACCGGTTTTTGTGATCTAGATGTAACCCTTGTGCAGGCCTTGGAGCTCAGGGAGTGGCTTGCCACGTCCACGGATAGACCTGGGAGAAGAGCTGCTGCTCCCGACTTCGGTCGCTCCCTTTCCTCCCATAGATCCTTTCTCCACAGCGGTGTGGTCCTCAGGGGCGGTGGGCTGCTGCAGGCACAGCAGCTTGCCCACGAGAGACTGATTTCCTTGGGTTTGTTGTCTTGTTCTCTGTGAGAAGCATTTTAATGGGTCGATAAAGACTGAATTTCCAATTGTTTAGCTTGGAGAAGAGAAGGGTGAGGGGAGACCTTCTCGCTCTGTACAGCTACCTGACAGGAGGGTGTAGTGAGGTGGGGGTTGGTCTCTTCTCCCAGGTAACCAGTGATAGGACAGGAGGCAATGGCCTCAAGTTGCGTCAGAGGAGGGTCAGATTGGATATTGGGAAAAATTTCTTTCCTGAAAGAGTGGGCAGGGCTTGGACCCGGCTGCCCAGGGCAGTGGTGGAGTCCCCATCCCTGGAGGGGTTCAAACACCGTGTAGCTGTGGCACTTGGGGACATGGTTTAGCAGGCGTGGGTGGTGTTGGGTTGACAGTTAGACTTGATGATCTTGGAGGTCTTTTCCAACCTATGATTCTATGATTCCAAGTTGCTGTAGGGGATTCTCCAGTTTTTCACTGTGCTCAGCGTCGGTGAAAGCTGTGCTGTGACACCGCAAGGCTTGGGCCAGGGCTGTGCCACTGTCACCCTGAGATGTTTCATCTTGACCATGTTAAGCTTCATCGTAGGCTTATGTCCACTCTGAGACATGGCAGTGGGTCAGGCAGGCTGTTGGTGCGAGCAACTAAATCTACTCTGAAGTTCACGTTCATCGCCCAGCAGATGGAAACAGGTCCAACTTCTCAGCAGATCCATCAGAACTTCAGATGTGGCCGTGAGGCGTGAAGCAACCTCTGCTCCCCTGGAAGCACCCAGTGCTGACCGTCCCGGGGCGGGACGCGTGTGGAGCCGTGCCTCCTGCTTTCGGATCTTCTCGGGGTGACGAGCCGACGGGGCAGAGCTGCTGCTTTGCTCAGCAGGAGCCCTGCTCAGCGGGAAGGAATGGGATTATGATGGGTTTTTTTTAAATACCTTTTCCAGCTCTACGGAATTCAATGTGCCCCACTGGCAACGGGGCTGGAAGCTGCCTGCGACCAGCCTTGCAGTGGGAAATGTCCCCCTCCTTTCAAAACGCATCCAAGCTGTCCCACCGGTGTCCTGAGGCTGTTGCTGGTTTCCATTCTGTAGCGTGGCCTTCAGAAGTTTGGTCCAGAAGAGGTCCCCTGCAGAGGTCTGAAGTGGTCCGAGCGTTCTGCCAGCGCCCCGCAGACCTCCTGCTCAGGGGTGCCGGGTCTGCCGCTGCTGCTGCCGTGCTCTGGGCTTCGTCCG